TAGATTTGTCCGGTTGGTGGAGAGATCTCACAGCCTTCGTTTCGGGGCATCATAAACTGTATTATCCAGAATCGCCTAATTCCAAGCAGCGGATCAAAGCGTATTTTAGGAACCTCATTTTCAAGACGCAATGAATTTCAAGGGACACCATAATGCCCGTGTCTCGCCTTTGACGTAGTCTTTTGACGGCCATTCGGCGAGGAAGCACAACGATATTGATTTCGGGGTATCATGACATTTGTTCTTCAAAAATGCCAAATGCAAGCATGCCATTCAAAGGGCCGTAAAGTCTCGGTTTCAGGTGGCAGCAATTATAAGGGCACCACAATTTATTTGCTTTCCACCCTGGCGAAATCCTGGATCAGCCCCCTCGGCGAAGATCACCAAAATCTCTCCTTATGGGGCATCATAATTTTGATTTGCAAGAGACGCTCAATTCTAGAGAGGACCACGAAGGGCAGTAAAACCTTCATTTTAAGTGGCGACGAGTTCCAGGGCACCACAAATGGCCCAAGGTCTTTATTTTTCAGAAAAACTATAGTCAACGCTTCATCGCTTCGTGAAGCGTTCGAAATCATCACTTGCCGGTGCGCGGCTGATTTGCTCGCCCGTTGACCACCTCCAGATGTTAGCTGTAAAGCCGACCCTACGATGCGCGTGGAGACGTGTTATTTATTTTTGGGTCCAACTTACGCATTCAACATTGCAGACGAGCATTGGGTTTCCTCATTCTTTCAGTATTCCCATATGTCATGTCGTGCATATGCATTTCTAAAGCCTTCGACGATTCTAGCACACGCGAGACAGGTTTCGCCATTGTGAAGTTCATGGTCCTTTTCAATGATTGTTGGATTTTTTACACCGTATGCAAATTACGAATTAAGGTCTCCAAGATGTAGAAACAGCCCTGTTCAGCAAATGATGTTGTTTTGTATTTTGCTCAATAACTCATGGTTGGTATGCATAGTTTTAATGGGACACACTGGCACTGCTTACATATCCGGAACGGTAATACATAGAGCCATTAGATCCAACCTTTCGGCGACCGGCCCCAGTTTTCCAACCTTGTTGTCTGCTCCAGCCAGCTCCGCTTGCCGTCCTAGTCACGGTCACCTCACCGCAGCTTTAAAATGCTAATGCGTGTTCACATCCTCAGACTGTGTCGTGCCATGTGCAGGAGCAGTAATCACGTGACTTATCTGCCGATCGGAAGGGTCTTATTGGCAGAAGCGGTGCCAAGATCCCGATTTCTTGCCTCGTCATGAGGTGTTAGAATCAGTTTTATGTTGGTATTTCGCACGTCCGATCGTTTCAGTGATCGAGTGATATATGAAACTGGCGCTCTCACCATTGTGCAGTAAGACAGACAGAGCTTAGCGGAAAACATCGGTGGATTGATTTTCACGAAAGCTCAGAATTGGTAAAAATTTGTGTGTGGATAGTTTAGAAATCAAATCCATTGTACCAGGCCAAAGGTTAATATTTCCCGAGAATCAAACCTTTTCAGCACTACAGTCTCATCCGTGCGATATTATACGTCGTATTGGCACAAATCCTCAACATGCGTGTTCCTTGTTCAGTTCTGCGTATAATCGCTTGTTGAAGGTGTCTGACCACATGTTTGAGAGCCAGAAAGGCAGAGAGGCGGAGACAGATAGAAAGATAGGAAGAGACAGGGAGACAGAGAGAGAGAGAGAGAGAGAGAGGGGGGGGGGCAGGGAGACAGAGAGAGAAAGACAGACAGACAGACAGACAGACCGACACACAGTGACATAATCAGCAAGTCTGCACGCTTCAACACATACTCGCCTCATTTTGTCGCCCGTCTCCTTGGTCACACTTCCACGCGAAACGCGCGCTTCACAGTGAATACCCGTCCCTTTCCGAGCATTTCGCCATCGCCCCGCCGGGTCGAGAGTTGAACTGAAGTCAACTTCCTCTGCCGGCCTCGTCGGATCCTTGCTAGCCGGTGAGAAAAGCCGGCCAGCTGTCGAGTTTTGCCCGGGGCCGGCCGGGCGACGATCAAGTTTTGCCCGGGGCCGGCCGGGTGGCGATCACGTTTTGCCCGGGGCCGGCCGGGCGGCGATCAAGTTTTGCCCGGGGCCGGCCGGGTGGCGGTCACGTTTTGCCCGGGGCCGGCCGGGCGGCGATCAAGTTTTGCCCGGGGCCGGCCGGGCGGCGATCAAGTTTTGCCCGGAGCCGGCCGGGCGGCGATCAAGTTTTGCCCGAGGCCGGTCGGCCGGCGATCACGTCTTGCCGGGTTCACACCGCCAGCCCGGTATTCCGGACGAGGCAAGCCGGTTTTCCGGGCCGGAAAACTTGGTGGGAACCAGAATTTAGAAGAAAAAACGCTGAAACAATGCTAAATAAATAGCTTCAGCAGATTATTCCTTGCGGTCATCAAACGCCCGCTCCCTCGGTTTATCGACCTCAAAATGCGAACAGTGGAATTGAATCTTCCGAAAACTCAGAACTTCTGTTTCTGTTGAATGTGGTGAAATGAGAATAAAACGTAAGAGGTCGTGTCCTCAAAATAAATTGGGCCATATCTGGCGATTTTTAGGGGGGGGGGGAGAGCTTCCATCAGCAGGTGGCGCTTTGTCAACCGTACATCCTCCCCCTTCCCTTTGCTAAGGCTCTGGTTTTTCCTTGTCCGTAAACTTCCATGCTGTTCAGCAATGTGTTGGGGGCTATAGCGCGACCAAAACTTCCGCCAATTCTAGCTGACATCTTAATTCAGCGATTTTGTTCGAAATTCGTGAAGAATTACTATAATCTACAAGTCCATTTGTCACTCTATCGATGGCCGCTTTCTTAAAATCAGATCAGTCTTTGATTCAAGACTCGAAATACAATCGAATACAATTTTGGAGCTATACAAAATAGCAAAAAGTCATAACTGATCTGCGTAGTTTTAACGGGCCATTCAGACGCTGCTCACATATTCGTAACGGCAATGCACGTGGTTATTAGACCCAACCTTACAGTCATTGGTCCAGGTTTTTCAACCGTGTTTGCCCCAGCCAGCTCGGCTCGTCCTTCCAGCCATGGTCACTTCACCGCAACATTCAACTACCTATGCGTGTTCGCAACCTTAGGCTATTTAGTGCCGTGTGCAGATCCAGTAGTCACGTGAGTCTTTCACTGGTTGAGAGGGTCGTATTGGTAGGCGGTGCCAAGGTGCCGATTGCCCACCACGCCATAGGGTGTCAGAATCAGTCTGATACTGCATTGCAGACGCACGAAGGTTTTAGTGGTTGAGCGATACATGAAACTGGCGCATTCATTGATGTGATTCCAATGCATGTTGCATTGTTGCCCAATTCGCAGTTTAACGCCCTCTAGAGACCAAAATGAGCCGGCCCCTAGTCATGACCATTTCAGCTGCAGCTCCCTGTACCTACACACATTTTGTGTGTGTGCGGGAATGTACCCGGCAGCTGACGCGTGTTGCAGTCATGACTGACAACACGTCAACAACAAATCAACGGGTGTTGTAGTCTTGTGGGTGCCGTGGCACCCACACAATTGGAGTGGGCTCCTACAGCAAGACTTGCTCACCCACAGCATTTAGTGTAATAATAACTCACAACTGTCAGCTGTAATATGTTCGGTGGAGACACATTCAATAGTTGTCTATGAGAGGTGTCAGGGGCGGGAAAATATGCCAAAATGCCTGCATGTAGCTGCAAGTATACATAAAGCCGGTCCTGTCTATTAGCAAATCTCCAGCAGGAAATTCATGTTGGTATCAGGCACCCTCACGTATGGAAAGTCAAGCATACCATAAACGAATGGGATTATTGCATGGGCGGCGTGAACGGCCAGACCATCAATTACAGGGACAGACTCAAGGATTAGACGCGTGGGCACGTTTGGGCTCTCATAACAGTTCTCTGTAAACCACATCTGTGCATCTGTCCGTGCCTGAATCGCATTCCAAGTAAAGAATCCCGCAAGGAAATTGTGCAGCTGGTCGAACTTACAACGAAGGCGACAGGGGCGCCCTGTCGACGTGTCGGCGCAGGCATTGTCGACGGCAGCGGGCGATCGCTGCGCTGTGGAAAAGCCCGGTGCAATATTTAAATGCAGAGTGAGTGAAGACTGCAGTGATGTAGTACATCAGTCCAATGTCTGGTCCTCATGACAGGAGACGGAGTCCAATAACCTCCGGCCACGAGGCGATAAAACGACCCGTTGCAATCGTTCTGGAATAGCGTCGCTAAATTGGCGTTTTGATCTGGACACAGCGGTAGGCTTGCCTGTCGTTCCTGCAAAAATGTTATAGGATTTGCCCTCATTGCTGGAAACATTCTTTAGCCTGTTGCCTCCATGGAAGTATTTCCGGAAAAGCGGCACTTTATTGGTATTGTGGCCTGTAAGCAATACTATGTCCGCCCGCAGCGCTCGCGGGGATGGACACAGTATTTGCCCTGATTGCTCGAAATACTTCCCGGACTCTAGCCCTTTACGACCGTTCTGAAATGGTGCTTTTCAACTGATTTTGTATTCTAGCACCAATGCCAAGCCCAGCTGCTGCATTTTATTCGTCTGGTGCGCAGAGTGGGGCACATAGCGCCTAAATTATGGTTGATGGATGCAAAACCGAAGGTGCTTTATTTTACACGATATGCATTGGTGAAAAATTATTCCCTATGCAGTCTATAATTTTTCAGAGCAATGTCCTTTTACGCATGGCCTTAACCGCCCTCTAAATACTAACCACGGTATCCATGAAACGCGCACGTGTCTATCATTTACGGATCACTTGCACTCTAACATGCGTTGCAGTTGAGTGCTGACAGCTCAGAGATGAAGTGAGCTGGCACCACAGTTGTGCAGTTGTGGTCTGCAGGCGTTGGAAAAGGTGTGGAGCCTTCTGTTGTTCGCGGCACCGCCCATCCGATCGCGCCGTGATGTGTATAAATGGCCTGCTGTCATTCCTAAGTGTCCTTGGTCTGAGATAGTAAGGTCGGACGCTGTATGTACATTGGGTTATATTTCATGGTAAATACGGTAAATGATCAAGATGATAACCCACAACTGGGTATCATGCACAAAAAGGAATGATAAGTCTGCATCGATATGTGCTTATGCAGCTTCTCATGGCAAAAGAACAGCACCGGATGCCCCTACGTAAGCCGGCACCTAAATGCATCACGGCTGTTGTCGAAAGGTTTTGTTTTACCCCGGCTGAGGAGAGAAGCACTTTTCTTGTAAAATGCTGCCTCAAGGAAACCTACCTGGGCTGCCTGGAACTAAGCTTAATATACTTGATGAAGCTCATCAAACTCAGCTCGCGTCTTCTTTTCAGTGTCATGTACCCCGTTACGCTATAGTGAAAAACAGAATCCAGTTAACGAACCGGCATTATTATGCGCCACGCAACCAATGCAGAACTGTGGCGTCATGAAACACTCCCTGTACAGCCTATAAATAGCATCGGCATTACAACACAGCGCGTGGAGATCACATGTCGCACACAGAGAAGCCATTAACAGGATACAACCATCATCAGTCATGAGAGATGTCATTGCAGATCACATGACGCGCTTCCCGCGGTTCTCGTCTCTCTGCCGCCAGCTCCTATTTCGTTGGTCATGGTTCATGACGCCCTACTGACAGCACCGTCGCCGCCGAGACGTCCGCGTTTCGGCTTGCGGGATCCCGCGCGCTGAACGCTGCGCCTCGCCGTGAGCAGATGCGGTCGGAGCGTGGTCTTTGCTAGGAATAGTTGACGGTCAGCAAGAGCGAGCAGGCCCGATGACTGTTTTCACGCTGGTATCGACAGTCTAATGAGACTGTGTCACACTGTCGGTTGCGTCAGAGCGTCGACTCTGCGGATTCGGCGGGTACTTTGAGCCGCGGAGTTGAATGAGCTCCCCTGGGTCCTTTTTTTTTTTGCTTTGTTTATTTCTTGCTCTGCCAAGTCGGAGCTTCAGCTCTGAGAGCTCGGATATTGATCTATGCGCGGTGTCTAGATTTTGTGCCGAGTCAGGAGTCTGACTCAGTCGAGTTGATCGTCGACCCGGTGAAGTTAGAGGGCCGACTCTCGGCGCGTGGCTCCGGTCCCGGCGGCGCGCCGCTGGCTGCTGTTTCGCCAGGCCGCCTCCGCCGTCGCTGGCCGGTCTTCCTCGACGCCGGGCGACATCACGCTGTCCCCGAGGAGGTCTTCTCTCGGATTGCCCACTAGGGGCAGCTGGAACGGGCGACGTCCCGCGTTACTGGGTGGCCGCGCCGGGTCCAACCAACGGGCATCCCGGCGGAGAGCAGGGCGCGTGGCATGAATGGTAGCTTGGGCTCAGCTGTCTGAGAGATCCCGGAGCATCCAATTACTTCTGAACGTGAGAGGAATCCTCTTATGACTGAAATAGCATTCCACCTGGACTCCCGCAATGGAACAGATGACCACTCCGCTAGGCGCCGATACGAATCAGGGACATTGGTTGAATGATGAAGGGGTTCGGGGCTCTTAGTTAGGTGTATATGCCTGCTCCTGCCGGTCGCCAGTGTCTGCATAGCGGCTATAAGAACAGTGCCGCGAGGAAGGTTCCCTTCGGACGCCTGTCGAAAGGTTATGTCCTACTACGTACAGGCATTTGACGGGCAGACAATGTTCGAACATGAGCACTTGTCGGTAGGCCCGTTTCTGCAAAAGGGCCGGTGTTGGAATCATTATATATATATATATATATATATATATATATATATATATATATATAATATAATATATAATATATATAATATAATATACATATAATATATATATATATATATATATATATATTATAACATAGCTACTCATCCATAGGAAGTGCCTGCTCGTGGAACCTGCTGGTAATAAATCTGCGCGTGCAAGCACATGCCGCGAGTTGTGACCACATTCCCGTTCTGGATAGCGCGTCACGTTCAGAAGAAACATTCGCGGAACACAGTGCGAAAAATACATTTAGAACCAGCAACATATCCAGGCAATGGGGTAGGCCCTTCTGCATCCAGGACGGAACGTGTAGCTCTCTCAACTTTAGCGCCATCTTCCTCGAGTGCCTTTATTGTCAAAGTTTGCGTGCTAGCCTAAGGAAGAAAGGGCGTCTGCAGGACTCATTGCCTCCAAATGCACGTGATTTAAAGTTAGCAGATTGGCCTGACGTCAGCAGGCAAGTCCGTATATCACGCTGTGTACAGCATTGTGCGGCTTTAACCCGGTTTTGCGTATGTGTAGAAGCAAAATAATCACAATGAAACACTGCCAAAGTTATAATATTTAAACAAATAATACAAAAATATCCGAATGACTAGTAAGGTATACTGTATTGGCACCAATACGTTAGCAAAGTATCGTGGATACGTCAGCTGCCTCCTTTTGAACGGTCGCCACGGTGGCATACAAAGGGAAGCCTCGGGGATGCAGCGTACTGGCGCCTTCGGGCAGAAAACACTCCCGTGTTTTCGTGTGTCTCTCCTTCCGCGGTTATCTGATCCGGCGATCACCGCGTGGTGAAGTAGTTAAGGGGCCCAACACGTGCACCAGTCGCGCTTTTATCGCAGAATATAAGTTTGCCATCTTAAGTTTCAAGTGGAGCACGATACAGCAGTCCAGGTGATCAGAACAGGCGTAACCGGCACACCTGGGATTGCGCATCACTGCATTTCAGCTCGTAGAATGGTGGAACAGGCAGCCGGCGCCACCTTCTGCTGACCCATCGATGGATGGCATGTTATGCCCAGTCTTCTCGGGCGGCCTTTAGGCGGCGGAGGGTATTTGAGATCGACTGTCCCCGTGCAACACCCGAAGCAAGTGGTCAAATACCAGCGCATTGGAGATGCACCCCCCCCCCCCTCCCCCGCCCTGCATTCTTCCCCACAGACCTAGTGACCAGTGGCTCCGTCCCTTGATTTTGGATAGTGGCCACATAGTTGTGGGTCGCCTTTACAATGGGTAGTGGCCACATAGCTATGGGTCGCCTTTACACTGAGTGGCTTAGCTTTTCTCATGTCGGCTTTTGTTTTTTTCAGTCGCATACTTAATGGCTTGCCAGTGATACCACTCGCATTGAAAGCATACGATCGTACATGTAGAGAGTAGATCACATCTGGGGGGACGCGCCCCTACTCGCGCGAAAATCGGCGTTGACCACTTTTCAGGGACAACGGATTTTGACCGCCGTCTCGTACTAGCGCAAATTTCAAAATGGCTTTCAACGGAACATTATTTCACTGAATGAGAAAACCCAGAAAAGCATTTGCCGCCATGTCGTCTTGCTGCAATGTTCAAAAGGCGAAATGCACACCGACGACATTGAGCTATTCAAAATTATCTGAAGAAGTAGCGCCCGCAGACAGTCAGGGACAGTCCATGAATTACATGACGCACTGGTAGGAAGAGAGCTGGCGTCGTGTAACCACTTGGTCTAAGGACATGAAACAATGCGGTTTGGCTCGGCTTGTTTACTTATTGATATATCTGGACGGGTATATGGAGCACTAAACTTCACCCCTTTGACCTAGCTTGACGCAATAAGGCCACACATATCGACTCTCACTAGAATTCGTACGATAGGGGTTTTCAGGGCCATGCAACACCGTTTTCTACGTTGCTGTAGAACGGTTAGTTCTTGCAATAGCCGAGGAGTGTGCCTGGTTTATCCCTTCACGAGTTATACTCACCATTGTTAAGTCACATCCATGTGATAAAGTTTGACGAAAGCTTTTTTATGCCGCCTTTTCCGTGGCTCTAGCTTGCTTGGTTTCGAAATTTTCAGGGATAGGCCGCTGAGGCTTCCCATTGTGAAGAGGCGGTCAAAATAAACGCCCACGAGCGAGGGTTGAGCAACCTCTGTGTAGATCCCATGAACAGCATTTCTACGCATTAACATTCGAATAAAGAATATTCAGTTAATAAGCATTCGACTAATGAGCATCTCGGCAACTTAGCTCTCGAATGAAGCGTATTTCTTCAGAACGGTATTCGATGAATATGCGTTTTAACTTGTCGATTTGGCACGTCAGGAATAGGCAGGTCGGCAAACTGCCGTTCCACTTTCAGCATTTCGCCATTCTGATGCGCAGCAAAAAGGCACATCGATAAGACATCAATCAGTTAGATGCGTTCGGCAAAAGGGCACTCAGCTAAATGTATCTATTAATTATCCGGATGCTCACCGTCGAGAGACAGCAGGGCGACCACAGTCCAAAAACTTTAGACAGTCATCGCACGCTGAAGGTAGAGATAAGGTTGACTGGAACACGGGGATAGGTAGACAGAGCGATGACGGTTGTGGGTTCACTGACAGCTCGGGCCGACGGCCGTTCATGGACACCGCTGTCATAAGCCGATGACGGTTGTGGGTTCACTGACAGCTCGGGCCGACGGCCATTCATAGACACTGCTGTCATAAGCCGGTGACGGTTGTGGGTTCACTGACAGCTCGGGCAGACGGCCGTTCATGGACACTGCTGTCATAAGCCGGTGACGGTTGTGGGTTCACTGACAGCTCGGGCCGACGGCCATTCATAGACACTGCTGTCATAAGCCGGTGACGGTTGTGGGTTCACTGACAGCTCGGGCCGACGGCCGTTCATGGACACTGCTGTCATAAGCCGATGACGGTTGTGGATTCACTGACAGCTCGGGCCGACGGCCATTCATAGACACTGCTGTCATAAGCCGGTGACGGTTGTGGGTTCACTGACAGCTCGGGCAGACGGCCGTTCATGGACACTGCTGTCATAAGCCGGTGACGGTTGTGGGTTCACTGACAGCTCGGGCCGACGGCCATTCATAGACACTGCTGTCATAAGCCGGTGACGGTTGTGGGTTCACTGACAGCTCGGGCAGACGGCCGTTCATGGACACTGCTATGACAAACCGTTGTACGGATGCAGCCGAGGCAGACCGCTTTATCGGGGCAACTGAGACAAACCAGACCGAGGCCAGCTGAAACATGGACACTGGACGCTCAAACAAACACTAAGACATAGCCACGTGACACTGGCCACTGCCGGGGGATAACTGAGGCATATCATAGGGCAAATGATGACAGCTCAGCTCAAGAATCATATCAGTATGGAAATATAGACGTCATAGCCTGGGAACAGGTCACCGAGAGCTAACTACTCTGGAACGGAGGTGCCCAGTGGAGGTGTGCACCATGCTGCGGAAGTCCGCTCGTGACGGGCATAGCTGGGCTAAGTTACATGCTGTCACGCGGCTCACTTAGGGCAGCGCAACTTGAGTCGCGATTGCGCAATAGATCCGCGATCAGGATGAGGGTGATGCGCAGGTACAAATGTAACAAGCGACGGAAGTGCACAGCCGCGTGCTCGCACGTGGCATTAGGCATCGATTTACCGTCCGAACCGCAGACCGTCAACGTTAATTTAGATCGGCACACTGAGTGCAATTTCAGTCTAGATCGATCAAATGAAGCCATAGTCGGCCTTCACCAAGCGGGTGCCAGCAAAGCTGCCCTTTGTGGTCACGATTTACGACAATTTCTATCGCGCCGGGGCCGTAACGCTCCGTCCAAGTGAACTGTTTGCGGGCTGAACATCCGTACTTGATGCACCACCGTTTCGACGCCCGTCAGGTTGAAAAATGGGCGCAGTTTGCGTGGGTTCTTCCTATTCAGCGCGGACCCCGGCAGGTGCTATCACTTAAAAGGAGTGTTCCACGTTTAGAGGGGGTTTTGAACTGAAATAGCCACCTTGAAGACCTTTCCGTGCCGTTCACCATGCTGGCCTTCTTTAGACCTAAGCCTAAGAGGTATATCGGGGAAAGTATTGCGAAGTCACCCTGGCATTCATGACGTCATAATAACGCCATTCAAATGTTACCATTCCATAAGCCATGCGGTGATCAAGGCCAACTAAAATACAAAGGTTGAGGCGTTCATATCTGGCGCTCTTGAGCGCGATTTCCAGAAATGGGGGTTGAGATACCAGGACGTAATCAAGTTATGACGCATTGAGGAGCAGATTTACTAAACAGAGAATTGTGCTGTCTTGAGTAGCCTTTTCCCCTTAAATAGTATACCAACAGATATAAAAAGGCTGGTTTCATCATAGCTGGTGCTTGCTTCAATATCTTTAAACGTGAAGCATTCTGTTTTATGGGAGACCTATGACCAATGCTCAAGGGCCGCAATAACGTTCCATGCCAGGCAAAGCATGCAGTAACACGAACATGCTCATATGCTGTATCAGAATGTCATGGCTTACTTGGAACGCATCAAACTGGGACAACTGCAAAAGGTCGCAGAATATTTTGACGGAATGTGCAATCGCGATGACCGCCCCAGAAGAGCAGTCGCAGATAGAGTTATTCGGACAAATTGCCTTGGCGATTCGGGACAAGCACTGTTATCAGTGACGATTTACGAACGCTGCCCCGCACAACAATCTGGGATCAGGCAATCTGTAAGCCCGAGAAAGGTGTACTGCTTCTGACGCTGTTCATCGTAATGAGAAGTGCTCAGTCCAGCCTGAACCGTCCATCAGCAGAAGACAGGGGAGCGCCTGGTACTAACCGCCGTTCCCTGACCTGTATCGCCTGCGAGTAGGAGGCCTGCGAGCATCCGTACTGCTCCTGGTACTGCTCCTGGCGCAGCAGCGGCTTCAGCGACCGGCACCGCAGGCAGAGGATCTCGCGGAACGGCCGCCGGAAGTCGCGGTTGAACGTGGCGTAGATGATGGGGTTGAGCAGCGAGTTGAGGTACCCCAGCCAGAGGAAGACGTCCGACACGCTGTTGGGGATGCTGCCGCGCGGCACCAGCGGCCGGATGACGGCCAGCAGGAAGAACGGCAGCCAGCAGACGATGAACGCCGTCATGATGATACCCAGCGTCACCGACGCCTTCTTCTCGCGCGGCACCGACAGCGACCAGGGACAGCGGAGACGCGGCCGCGCCTTTCCCGGCCGCAGTTCGGCCACGCTGGCGCGGCTGTCTGCTGCGGCGACTGCGGTGAACTCGGCGCAGCGCTGCAGCTCGCCGGGCGAGCCGTCCCGCTCGCCGGTCACCCGCGCAGTCGGCGGCGCCAGGTGGCCCTGCGCGCGCCGCTCCTGTCGTACGATGATGCGCGCTGCCTTCAGGATCTTGACGTAGACGAAGATCATGACGGCCAGCGGCAGGTAGAAGGACATGACGGTGGCCCACACCTGGTAGTAGACATTCTGACTGACAGTGCACATGTCGTCGGCGCCGTGCTCGTTGCCGATGATGACGATGGGGATGATGCTGATGCAGATGGCGCCGCCCCACACCACGCCAACGTAGAGCGCCATCAGTTTCTCGACGCGTCGCTGCGAGTACTGCAACGGGTCGGTGATGGCCAGGTATCGGTCCACACTGATGGCGCAAAGGTTCAGGATGCTGGCCGTGCAGGAGAGCACGTCGGCGCACACGAACACGTCGCAGAGGGTTCGGCCGAACCGCCACGTGCCGGCGCAGAGGTAGAGCAGCGCGATCGGCATCACCAGCACGGCCACGAACAGGTCGGCCACGGCCAGCGACACGTACAGCACCGTGTACGGCTGGCTGCGGATCTTGGGGACCAGGCAGACGGCCACGCACACCAGCACGTTGCCAATTACTGTCCAGAGGATGAGCAGCGGCAGCACCAGCATCAACGCCAGCTTCACTTGCCACGGATAGCCGTCGGCGGCGGCGAGCTCCGCCGACTCCAGCCCCGACATGTTCGCTTCCATCGGACCGGGAGTGCCGGCTCCCCGGCTCACGGGAGTCGAGGGCGCGGCGTGGCGCGCTCATTCATGGTGCCACCGTCGGCCGTCCCTGGGGAAGGCCGCACAATGCATTGGTACATGCCGCTGGAGCGATCGGCCAGGCTTGCAAACGCTGCCGTTCGTCTCTGCAGTCACTCCTCGCATGTGAATTGCAACACTGGATTCAGGCTGTGCAGCGCATTGCTTTTAGCGCACAGCCAACGGAACATATAAGAAGGTCTCGTATAACACGAATGTTAAGCATTATCGACAAGTTAAGGCTACCGAGAGAATGACGGTTCGGACCACCGCCCCCATCCGGTGTATTAGTACCCACACACCGTTTGTGCCAGTGAATCGTCTGCCGCCGTTGAGTGTTAGCGATTCCCGGGGAGGAATGGATAGTATTCAACTTTTAATCCTGCACGCGTCACAACCGAAGTTTTCTCCGTGGCGTCGCTAGGATACGAACCAGCGTCTTCTCTCGGGTTCTACCGCTGAACTAACCACCAGCGACAATGGTGGATACAAACAGGTAGAAGGCAGTTTAGTGGCGAGACCCTGGCTCGAATCCCGGCAAGTCCACAGAGAAAATACGCATTGTGACTGAAAGTTCAAAACCAATCAGTCCTCCCCAAGGGCTAAGAAGCACCTGATGGCAGTCGGACAACTATCTGACTGAAGCGTTGGCTGGATACTAACACACCAGCACAGTAGGTGAGGACGACAGTCCAAACAATTATTTCATACGTGATAAGGTTAAATCTAAGCTTTTCGTTGCATGGATTTCTAGACTCCAAGCCAACGTTAAGCAGAGCTGGTTGCGTTAGCTCTGTCACCACCATGCGGTCGTAAAACTCCAGGTCAGTGGCAGATCCTTGCGCTAAGAGATTAACGTGTCGTAATGCTCGGCACGGTCCACCCGGCCCTCGACGTCATCTGACCCTCAGTATGGGCGTTGGCCGTTGTCACCGGCCATCCCACTCAGTGCCAAACAGCGAGCGCTTAGAGCGACTCGGAAACCATCCCGCTACGATCGGGTAAATCTATATCATATATATAACCTATATAATATATATCATCAATTTCGCCTGGCCATTTATCATCTATATATCATTTAAGGGCAGTCGCCTTAACTAACCGACCTTTCGGTTGAACGTGTCCGACCTGCTCCTTAAATGAAACATTTCAAATATCCGCTACCTGAAATGTGTTTATACCTTAGTCGCAAAATGTCATAATCATCACCAAATATTTCTGTTAAATATGGCCGCATGATGATCTGTAGCCAGGGGCAGTTATTTTGTTTAGATATCAACCATGAGCGAGTGTCTTGCTTGTCACCTCTAACGACGTTCCTCGGGCGGGCTCCGTGGCACTAAGCCACCGGCCGCAGACGATCACCGCCTCAGCGGGAGCACGTCAGGGCAGATTTCTGCTCGTCCCGCTGACGACGTGGCCATCTCTGGCCGGGGCACCATTACCGCCGACGGGCCGCTGAGCACCCCCTCCCCGCCCCCCGCCCCCGCCCCCCCCCCCCCGCGGAGGTCCGTGACCAGGGCGCGTGAGTGAGCCCGGCTGGGCCGCGCCCGGGTCACGACGGCGTGGGAGGTGGGGAGGGGGCACCGGGCTGGAAAGGCACCGACATCGGCGTGGGGGTGCGACGCCGCGAATAACACGTGCGACGGTCGCGAAGTTTGAGTGGCTGCAATGTGACGGGATGCTGAAAGTTGTTTGCGGCATTGGTGCGTATTGCATGCCTCGCTGTGCCCATTTCGGACTCGTTGCAACAAATTTGCATGCAAATTAGGCAAGCGGGTGCGTGCTGAAACGGAAATCACGATGAAGATACTTGCGTGCCGCCACTGCACTTATTATGTGGCGATGCTTGGCAGAAGTTATGCCCAGCATGTCTTCCTAAATATTCCATCCGAACTATTGTATTTGTTACTCCTATGTGTATCCCGTCAGCACCAGGTGGAATACGCAGGCACTTATTAGCTAACCACGCCATCCGTAAGTATGGCAACAGTGTCATACCGAATAGTAGTCGTGGCTTACAAAGGAACAGAATTGTAAGGTGTGCATAGTTTCATGTCAAATGCATTCCTTATTAACCATTTAAAGCTTCCATCTGGCAGAGATTACGCAGAAGTCCTGGGTATCTGACATGAAGTCATCTATATGGCTTAGTGCAAGCTGACTTACCGGGCATCATCGATCTTCGGAGTCTTTACAGTACTTTGGACGGCTTACTATTCAAGCACGACGTGCAGCAGCTTTCCCTTCGTGAGTGGCTTTTACTTCCACATAAATAAAGTTTAACGAGCGCTTGGCATTCCACCAGCTGCACCGAATCGCGTCACCTGCCATTGCACTCGGTGGTTGCGTCGCCTGCGGCCGTCTATGTCACGATGGCGCAGTAGGCACAGTAGGCGCAGTATGGCGCAGTAGCCACCATAAACCGACATATCCTCATTCAGACAGAGTATCGCGTGTGGTACGCCCTGGAGTCGGCAAGGCGCATGATGTTCCAAGACGTTTCCCTTTGAGCTGTTCTCCGATTTCGCCGGCGGCGTCCCCTCGGCTGATGCTCGGGAGGGATGGAAAGGTGTCACATAGAACGTAGTGAGGTGAACTAAAAAGAGAACAGGAAAAAAGGACAAAGGCTCCCGTGAGATGAAATACAACTATGAAATGCTGACATGCAGAGTTTCAATATCTGGAAGGATGAGAGCCTGAGTAAGACATGCGAAAATCTAAATAAGTGAGGGAGGAAGAGCGAGTAGAAAAGAGAGAGGGGGGGGGGAACGGAGAGAGGGAGGGGAGGGGGAAGGAGGGAGGGGAGAGAGGGGGGAGTGAGAGGCAGAGAGAAGAGAGAGAACGTGATGGGCGAGAGACAGAAGAGAAAGAGAGAGGGAGGGAGTGAGAGGGAGAGAAAGAGAGAGAGAAAGAGAGAGAGAGAGAGGGGGGAGGGAGTGAGAGGGAGAGAAAGAGAGAGAGAGAGAGAGAGAGAGAGAGAGAGAGAGAGAGAGAGAGAGAGAGAGAGAGAGAGAGAGAGAGAGAGAGAGAGAGAGAGAGAGAGAGAGAGAGAGAGAGAGAGAGAGAAGGAAAGAAAGGGAATCGTAACCAAATGGGAACAACGTTGCGTTTCAACAATGTAAGCTGTGAAAATGATATGCTGCATGTGAAACGTCCTCATTCTTATAATTTTCATGCTGTCGAAGAATATGCAATCGTGATGCGTCTAAATTTCGTCTGCATTACGCTTCATGCGCGGCTATCAAAGCCCAACTTGTGGCATGATATTAACACATCTCTATCAACCATGGGAGGGTGGCGAAGTTTTGACAGATTTAACGTACAGTGTATTAAAGCGGCGTCAGTCGGCCTTCCAATATCCCTACTCCGACTGTCACCGACAGTCAAAGCATGTCAGCAGTTGTGCGAGCATAATATTAAACAGAGAGTTAGATACCCGAGCTGCTCCACCCTTGGCGAGCACTGTGTCCCGGACCGGGCTACCGCATTTGAAAGGGAAACAGCGCCGGCCAGGGCGGCGGGGAGGGGCTCGATTCCCCTGACCAGGCCTGGATCCCTCGGGCTCGGCCGCAAGTCCGCGGCACACCAGCGACAGGTGCTGGGTCGCCCCCGACCTCACCGGCACGCCACCAACAGGTGCCGGGTCGCCCCCGACCTCGCCGGCACGCCACCAACAGGTGCCGGGTCGCCCCCGACCTCACCGGCACGCCACCAACAGGTGCCGGGTCGCCCCCGACCTCGCCGGCACGCCACCAACAGGTGCTGGGTCGCCCCCGACCTTACCGGCACGCCACCAACGGGTACCGGGTCACCCCCCCCCCCCCTCCGACCCCACCGGTGGAGCGAACCGAAACAGGAGTGGCCCAGCCGAACAGACCTGAGGACGCCGGCAGAGGGCGCGGCCATATGCAGCGCCGGGAAACTCTGTTGGCTGCAGCAACCAGCACTTAGAATGCTGTGAACCCTTAGATCATGATGCAGAGAATTAGCAAGAAAAAATCAAAGTGTACTCCGAGTCTTAAAAAGCAGTGAAGTGATGTATACGACCTGAAGAAAATGGCAATACCTGTATATTTTAGACCCATTGTATGAACTAACGCATGGCAGTGAGGAATTACGGATGGAATCATTATTTGGACTATCGTCCACGTCTGATGTGTGTGTTCATTGCTCGGGCTGTTGTCCTTGTACATGCTAACACACCAGACCAGAACTATAGTCCGAACAATTACTTCACCCACAATCATTATGCATCGTCCCGTTCCTTTCCCAAAACGGCAAAGGAGTTCACTTCGGTCTTAATAGATTATTCAATGAAATACTATAGGTGATGTGTAACTGACAGCCTCAGTCGGGCCCTTTCGTGGCAAAATGAAAACTTGTGAGACCTGCGCGATACACTCACTTGGCTGTGTCCTCGAGAAAAGCTTACCCGCTCCGTATCGTCTCTGGTTGATGAAAGCGTGACAGCATGTTTTCCATTCATAAAACGGCGTGGTGTGACACGGGTAGTCAATGGTTTGCCTCTAAGGTGCCTCCCATAACTACGCTTCTGTTCGAGGCATGTGTATGTGGCGAGTGTGTGTGGCACTCAGCCAATCACCTCGCCGCCTCAGCATGGCTGTATCTATGAGAGGTCGAGCGCAGCAACTTATGCGAGATTAAACCCCACACATAATTTAATTGATGCAAGTTTTGAAGTCAAGACCTCGGCCGCACTAAGTTTACGATAGCATTAGTTCGAGTTTTAAAGTTGCAGAAGCTGGAAATCCCAAATATCCAAAAGCTGAACCATCACGCTCAGATATTTGTTTCAACGATTGTCGACGCGCCATGGCGTAGTAACAGCTGCGCGCGTTTGACCTGTTTCGCGTGCTTGCCGTAATGATCCATGCTAGCGACTATCTGTGCACTCTGTAACCTGGTAATGGCTTCGAGTCTGGGCAGAGTCCAG